AACTTAGTCACGCCTCAGCAGAGCTCGACAAAGAACTTCCACTGTAGAGGCGAGCTAGGGTTTCATAGTACAACTCAAAACAATAATTATCAAAAGCGCGTTTTCCAAAGGCTGCATGCATGCACCTTATATACTAAACCCTAAATAAAACAATCACAGTTGAACAGGCCCAAACTGGATAGCAAAACTGGGCTAAGGACCGAGCCCATGACGCAACACTATAAAAGCCAACAATAGTCTTGGAAGTTTCAAATGCATGAGATTCATTACTTTGAAGGTGAAAGGGTGTGGAGGTTTCAAATGCATGAGGTGTTGGCAAATTTTTATGGGGGTTTCAAATGCATGAGATTCAAGGAAAAATGCTAGCTTTATAAGTATGTATGATGTATGATATATATATATATATATATATATATATATATATATATATATTATTATAGAGATAGGTTCAAATGTTTCTAGCAACTATTGTTTGCCTAAATGCACCAATGAGAATTCAAGAAATAACAAATAATTAAATAAATCATTTAAGGGTATTTGGGACCTTTGTACTTTTAATAAGGAAATCATTTAATTGAAATCCTGCAATTAAGGAAATAAAGTAAATATACTTGACCTAGTCGTGTGTGGTAGAACACGTTCATCATCGGCATCAACACCATCACCATCACCGCTGCCCACTTCCTCTCTTCGCATCCATTTCGTCGAAGCAATCAGCCTTAATCGAGATTGACATGAAGCACGCATGTAATCGCCTCTATTTTATTTTTTTGCTGAATTTTTCTGTTCATCTCGTTTCCACATCCATACAGGAAAATCGATTAAAGGGATGAAGACCGATCTCCACCCGGTGAGTTGACTGGTGTGCTCGAAACCCACATATACGTCAAGAAGACCAGAACCCACCATCTTCCTTCACTCGATGCAGATCATAACCATTCATGTTCGTTCGTTTGATGCAGAATGAATGCACCCAAAAATCATAAGGTACGCTTTATATAACCGATTTAATATCACATTTATAATCTCGCTTCTCTTCTGATAGATTTCAGTCAGACCATTTATTTGTTGATAATAATAATTTTCTCAGGAAGTGTTTTTAGTATCCAAGTCCTTTTTTCTGAACACCAGTGTTCGACTAAATGCCTAATGAAGATTTACTTTGTAATTTGTCACTTTCCATTAAAAACTCTTCTCTATGGTCCTAAGTGAATTGTTACTAAGTTTAGGTAGTTCTTATATTTTCAGGAATGGTTTTGATTTTACTTTTTCAAATAGTTGTTTACCTTTCAATTATGTTTGGTTCAATTATCAATTTATGTTTGTGTAAAGTGCACTAATCTTATTTGGTTCAATTCTCGGATCATATGGATATATAATTTCAACAGGCCTAATTAAACAGAATGGTCATGAAATTAATTTATGTTATCTCATCTCATGAAAATTGAGTAAGTAATTGTGTTGTTGATTTGTAACTTACAGGTAAACCATTGAAGGAGCACAAGCAAAGAAAGTATGGGCAATATTCTGCCAGAATGTATATTATGTAGTCTTCCATATTCTATATATATACTGATGGGGTTGATTTCATATGCCAACACGGTGAATTAATTTTGTTTGTTTTCATATACCAACATAGTCAGGCTTGATATCATATGCCAATATAGATTGGTGAAAGCTACTCATCTTGTTCTAGAAAATTGTTTAAAAAGGTAATTAATTTGTTTTTGTATTATTTTGGTTCAATTTGTGATTTTGAATTCCAAATTCTATTGTCCCACGTTATTGTGTACTTGGAATCTAAAATTATATTAGCTGGTAAATACGATACTTTTGAATGTATTCTATGTATTCTGTCAGAATATATTCTGCCAGAATAAAATCTATGTATTCTGTCAGAATATATTCTGCCAGAATAAAATCTATGTATTCTGTCAGAATATATTATATGTATTCTCTCATATTCTATGTATTCTACCAGAATATATAAAGTGATAGTTAATTGCAAGCAACATGTTTTTAACCATTATTAGTTTTTGTTGTATTTGTGATAGGAATGGCTGGAAGAATGTGTTGAAGACCTAATAGGAATAACTTGAAGAATGAATAAAGTTTGATCATACTCACATTCTAATATTGTTGTTATTTTTTAGAATTTTATTCATTTTTGTTAATATTCTTTTAGAATATGTATAATTATATTAAAATATATAAGACTTTTAGTCTCTAAGAATATGTATGAATTTGTATTTAAGTTTGGATCTATAAGAATATATTAGAATGTTGTTGTTTTTCAACCTCAGATTCCAGAACTTTGTTATTATTCAATAATATTCTAATAGAATAAAATTCTGAAAGAGCATCATTCTAACTAAAAAAATATTCTGACAAAATAAAATCGGTTATGTTTACAAATTATGTTAGAATTAAATTGAATTAATTAAAAAAAAATCTATTTTTAAATTTGGAGAATTAATTATCCATAAATATCCGAAAATTT